TATTCTTTTTTCCCTGACAATTATTTTGTATTTGAAAATAACTTTCACAAATTGTAAATAAAATCATATTTGTAATATTAAATTATATTGTGTACCGATTTTCTGTTTGCAGGAAATATACAGTTTGATCATTAGTAGTGATTGGAAATGCATTCATATTCTTGAATCTGTAATGGTTTACATAGTTTGATCAATATGTATCAATGTCTAAAAACTTCTTTTCTGATCATTAAAAGATTTAACTCTGTTAAGCTTGTCGTAACTGGATAATTATGATTCAATTTCCCTCCTTAAGGGACGCAATTAGTCTAGATATGATCCTGTTATAAAATACAGTTCTTGAGTGACCTCCCTTTATGTGAAATTTACTGAAACGAGTTTCTGTAATGATTAATTTACTGCAAGTATTGATGAACACAAATTACAATGATTTTGTGCTTTCCTAGAACGGTTTATTGCTAAATGTTTTGAATTCAAAATTTATAAAAAAAGATCAAATTGACTTTCATAGCAAATGACAATCATCCGATATCAAATACCTCTTTTTGTGACTGTATCTATTTAAATACTGTACTCGGGTTTTACATATAAGAATGCAGTTGGCCGATTAAAATTGTAACTTAAGCTAAATGAATTCATAGGGGCAGTTGAAACAGATGCTGAACTCAAATAACGTCGTCATAAATCCATTCGGTAAGATTAGAATGTATACACAGCCAAAGGCACTGTACATCATTTTTATTTGTTCACTTTGAGTATGCCGTTTTTGAGTAATCGATAACAATCACTTGTGTTTTTATCAAATTATATCAAGATAAAAATGATTTTGAGTTTGTTACTGGACACAAATAAAATAAGCACAATCACTTTTGATAGTTTTACAAATTCAATGCAGTTATCACAGAGATTAAAGTTAGCATACTAAGGATCAAAAGACAAAACATTTTTAAACAGTGTCTTGAAAGCTCATTTGTTGTCAGTACAGAAGTGTTAATAGTCTGAAATGACCAACAAAAGCAAGGTCTGAACATCTGTGCCAATAACAGATCAGACAAGCTTTCGCCTTATAACAAATGACATATTCAATTACATCTGATAAGGCGTGTGACATCTCCATATCTGCTCTCATCTGTCAGACCTGTACGACATTTGTTAACAGCTAGCTCCTATCCGATCAGACATTTGAGATAACCGATAACAGTTTGCTTAGACGTTTTGAAAAACATAGAACAGCAAACTCGCGTATAATCACACGTGTAAAAAATTCGATAACAGCAAGTTCCTATCCGATCAGACATTTGAGATAACCGATAGCAGTGTTCAGCTCCCCTCTACATGTAAGAAAAATGAAAACAACCAGCTCCAGTGTAATTTTATAGTAGTGAATTAAGTACTGACCTAAATATAACATCATTTTATTTTCACGGTTTGAAAATAAATGATACATGTATGTTTCTAATGGTATTATACGGGATAATATGGCCTGACAGAGATGAATATGTACCGGGGCGCAAGCCAAATGTTATATTTATCTCAGTCTTACTATATTCTCCTACTACATGCATATTGACCATCAACAACTTGTGTAACGAATTAACGGTAATTGTAATGACTTGCAGTTTATCAATAGATAATATAAAATAATCCTTCTGTACAATGCATGACGTTTTTTATCGATCCAATGATCATCATCGCACAACAATGTATTTGTTTCGGCTTTTATGATATATACGGCACAATTTTAAAGCTATTCGAACATTTTATTTGCCGCCATGTAATAAATAAATAAATATACGCCAATTAAAAAAAAGATAACACAATCGTTTGTCTTAAGTATCATACATGATGTAAAGCAATGATTTTGTTTAAACAACTTAATAAGTGTTATTTAGTGTTTGAAATGTCACAAGTGTTTCAAGAACAAGGAAAAATATTGTAAGCCACTTTTGAATACTTGTTTTCTTTTTGATTAATTTCCGTTGTAAATTTTACGAGCTTTAGATGTTTTCAAGATGCATGTAAGGAAAAAACAAGAAAAATTATAAGAGCGCGCATCTTAATACACAAACAAGGATAAATGAACAACGGTCAACATTTGCACGATTCAAATTAGGCAGGATTATTTTCAGTAGATTAGAAACGTTTCATAGACTAATTTATTGTTTTTGATAATGTGACAACAAGTTTTATCAAATGACAATGAAATCTTTTCTGCCGGGATTTTCATTTGTTATTTTCTATTTTTTGATAGGGATTAAACGTGTATGTAAGTAATCTTAAGTTTATTGAAAATTGTGCATGTATATATCAAAATGTGTAACAATTTGCGCATTTACCACTGTTTAGGAGATACATTAAAGTTTCGGGAAACCTACAGTCTCGCAATTGTTAATATTGAAAGATTAATATGAATCCAATATAACATTGTTTAATCATATTATTTTTTCACAATGCAATTTTGATTTTAGATAACAAGATATTTTCTTTTAGAAGAGGGTGCTAACAAGTTTTCACATGGTTAGCGCCTAAAAACTTCCACGACGAACCTCTTTAAATAATGTGTATCTGACATTTTTATAGTTATTTGTTGTACCTTTTACCTTGCAATATACCACTAACATCCTTTATCAGCCGATCAATTTTCCATTTAGATGTTTCTATTGATAAAATGGCGTATCCTTTACTTTTTCGAGACACCATTTTCTGTAGCTCAGTCAAATGATTATTTTGGGACGAAAGAAAACTCAAATCGGCTAATCAACTAATGTGTTGACCACGAAAATATATTAACGTAGAAGGGTACACAAAATATAAAAACATCATTTGTATACAATAGTTTAAGACCAAAAATGAAGAAATTAGACACACCCAAAGCAACATAAAAAAAAAAAAAAAAAAAAAAAAAAAAAAAAAAAAACAAAGTCAATTTAATATGAGGACAAGAACATGTAGATATATTTTATTATTTTCTTAACCTCTTTTCCAAATACGGGTATTCAGTAGTCATCACATAATTATAAAAAAAGACAAAATAAGATAAAAATTGTATTTACTTGTGGGCTTTGAAATTATTTTCTAAATATGTTGCAATTGATTTTGCTCCATTATAGTCTCGTTTACAACAAATTAATGGTAAATCAGGACCACATAATAGAATTTGCTAATTATGTGAAGAATTACCGAATATTAAGAATGTTCTATCATCGACTAATAAGTGTTCTTTTTACAATATTTTTTAATTCGATATCAAAATTAAATCACGGTTTTAGAAGACAAATTAAAAAATATTTCTTTATAGAATAAAAGTTTTTTTTTCCAAAGAAGGTTAATTTGAGCATCATCGTTACGGAGGATCTCAAAAATATGTGTGAAGTTACAAGGAAATGATTTTAAAATGAGGTTTATGAAAGCCGATGCTTTTAAATTACCCAAAAATCCTGTAAACCAAAGTGTATGCCAACACGGACAACTCCATGGCCAACCCAAGAAAAAGAAGGATAGCACCACTTTGCTTTCGCGACAGTTTGGAGGCCAAAATTTGTTCATCAGGCTCCAGTCTTTTTTCATATACAAGTTACATGAGACCTTGCAATATTCTACATTTTATTTATTCCATGTTTGGTCTCACAAAAAATGTTTTATTAGGAAGTAATATTTTCCTCAGAATCAAGGTATTTTAAAACATGTGGTGTAACAGTGCACACATATTATGCAGAATATGAAATAGGTCAAGATTTGTTACGGGAGAGAATATCATTCGAATAGACTTACTCTGTTATTACAGGTCCGGACCATACAATTTCGTGGGGTACTACGTGTTTGAACGAAAGAAGTTCCACTATAAATCTTTGTTATCTATTACAGAAAGATTAACAGAGTTTTCACAACTAGGATTATGTACGGGGAGCGCCCATTAAACATTGACAAAAGTATTTAGTTTTCACTGTAAAAAATGACAACGAACATGGTATTACTTGTGTGTTCTGTATAAGTTTTTTTAATCAAATTATGCTCATTCAGGTTAAAGAAGACTGATTCTTAAGATATGGAATACAACTTTGATTTGAAAAATGAATGCAATAATCTTCCGAAACATGGAGATTTCTCTACAACAGATGATGCCAAAATGAATTTAATAAAGAAAGGAACAAGGTTGACCAACGGCATGTGCCTTATGGTGACTCACATCTACTATTAAATACTTACGTATTTTTGTAATATAGTTGTCATAAAATTTTCAACTACCTTTTAGAAAACAAAATATCCGTTGAAAACCTGAAGATGACCCCACCTCATTAGATTTAGATAAAGGTAGTGCATTCTATTTTACATTTTGCTGCAAACCATTTACATGTAATTTGTTTCGGCAGACTGATAGCATAGTGGCTTAATAATCTCTAAAAACGCCAGGAATAATGCATACATGAATACATCATGCTTGAGTATTAATTTCAAAACGTATTTTATCCTGTTAGTCAATACTATTCATCAAGCCTTTTTTTCAGTCTACAAAATCTGCGTAAGCAAACAATTCTATAAAATGATAACAAGGCACAAGAAACGGAGGTACGAAAAATATCTTGAATTAAAATACATCCAAAACCAACATATCATAACAACATTGTTGTGAAAACGATAAACGTGCTACGCTTCGTATGTGATTTACACACTTATTCACTTATAAGATACACTTAAACGTGCCGTATCTTAGCACAAGAAACGGACAAGCAGTAACAAAAGTTATCATAATAATAACTCAGGAAATATTCAGAGTTATCACAAAAACTTAACGTTTGGAACTTTCCATTATAATTAGGTGTTAAGTATAGCAACGAAGAAGCTTAAGATCACAAATGAAAATGTCAATCTGTACAAATGAGCAATTAATTTGGAATACTTACTCAAAATTATCAAATTTAAAAAAGGGGCATGAAAAATAGACTATTTAGTTTGTATTGACACATAATACAATATGTAAAGCAATCTTAATCCTCAATGTTTAATTAAGTATCTCAAAATTTCCGTTTGAAGTTAAGAATTGCGATTATTAGTGTGTTTGTCCAGTGTACTATAAAGTTTTCCAACGAAATCCGTAACGTTTTCCAGGAACTCCTTGATAGTTATTATAAGAACTCCTGACAAGTTATCATAAGAACTCCATCCTTCAGAAAACAGCCCCCCCCCCCCCATGATCATGCAGTCGAAAAAGCGTTCCATGTATAGAGAATGCTCGGTGCTGTTGACTATAATAATTGTATTCCTTTTGATATTTGGAGTAAAATAGGGACGATAGACTTAACTTGATTTAAAGTTGACTAAATGATTACCTAAAATGTAACTCTTTTTATGACAGACGAAATATGGGAACAAACACCTGTTAAATACGTTAGCGTTGAATTACATTATGATTTTACTACCAGTACTTTTAGTTATCCGATATAAAAAAGCAAAGAAAATATTTCAGATGTAGGACTCTTATATCGGAACAAGAAAATGTGTTGCAATGTCAGACCGCACGTTTAATATTCACACCGTACAATGTAAATGCAAATCATCAGTGGTTTAGAGAGGACAAGAGTGGATTGGTAGTGCTGAATAGCAGCAAGAATAAATATGATGAAAATAAATACATTGAACCAAGAAACGGTGACAATTTCAATTTGTTTATAGCAGAAGTAGGATTAGCAGACAATGGCTCATATTTTGTAAATTGCGGACAAAATTGATTTAGCAACCGCTCACATTTAATTATAACTCTAAAATTACCAAAAGGGGGTATTTAAGTTTAATATTTTTTCTGTATATATAGCATAATTATCCGACTTTTGAAGGTTGAATGACGTTAAAGTTACATGACACGATAACAATATATAGACTATTTTGCGACATTACAACATTTAGAATGCTCCTAAATGACTGCCAGGTTATTTTATTTTCAAATCTAACTGTAGTCATCACAGTTACCTCTTGAGCAGACTAAGTGATCATGGCAAGTTTTAAAACTACATTATAAGGAATGTTTAAAGCAAATTGTAAATAACAATTGCATATGAACCTTTAGTAACTAAGTAACTTTTGACGATATAAAAGAAATTTTCATTATTTTTGCTAAAACAGGGGCAATAAACAGACCTACGTACGGACACAGTGACAGTCGGACTGATGGGAGTGAGTAACAAGAAATTAATTTAGTTTAAAGAACTAAAGAATAGGTCTTTGTTATATGCAACAAATTAAGAAATAAAATTATCATAGTATTGAAATAAAGATGCATTGAAAGGGCAATTAACACTAAATTGTTGAGACCTGAATTTAAAAGCCAGCGGGAACATTCGAGCATGGTCTATACTGTTGGTAATTATTTTTTATATTCTTGTCCCAAACCTCGTTATTTGTCAAATGGACTGCTTTGCAAAGTCATTTACTATAGTAAAGAGTTATAGTGTTAAACATGAAAAATATATTTATTTTAATTTTTTGGATATTTTTGCATATGTACACCAATTCAAAACAAATAATTAAATTGTTGTCTGACAAAAGTATCTTTACAATAAGCCATATTCTTGGAATTTAATCTTTTTTTCGACAGGCAACAATAAATGAAGAGTTTTTCGTAAATGATGATTTATTATTACTTGTCAGGTTGCGGAGACAAATGTGGCCAACTTTCGGTTAACACACACAACACCACAGAAGGAAAGCCGGTAATATTTCACTTTGTGGTTTCACTCGGTAAAAACGTGACTTGGCAGAAGAAACTTGGTTCGGTCTTTAAAAATCTAGAAGGTGAAAAGTATCATCTGGCATTTGATGGTAGTAGAACGACTCACAGCCTTTCGATTTTAGAAACAAAGCATGAAGATACAGGCGAATACAGAGTTAATTGCGGTTCCACGGTGTCGAATTCAATCTATCTGAACATTGGTGATTATGTTAAAATATATTTCAATGTAATGTTATCTTTAGAAAATGGATAAGTATTTGGAAATATATATTAAATATGATATGTTTTTAGGCAAGACTCGAAACAAATTTAATTCCATATAGAAAATCTTCTGGCAATTTTAAACTACTGCTTAACATTGATAAAATTGTTTTATTTGTTTGTAATTTAATGTTGTTTGTACAGATGTTTATTTTCTTTTAACAAGTTATCAGCTATGTATCTACCTTTCATTTTGATTTGTTATGTCTGTAGAATATTTTCAATGCCATGTGCAAGCTACAAGATTCCTGTCAATTGTTTCTTTTTTCAAACATTGGGTATCAAAATCAATTGTAAAAGGGTTGATTAGATATATGAAATTGGTATAAAAATACTTGTATATTCTGCATCATGATGCACTGTAAATATCTACAATCGCCAGCCTTGCAGATGTATTGATGATGATTGCTGGTGCTATATACAAAATGTAGTTCTCTTAAAGTTCAAGGTTAGTCTCCTATTAGGATATGTTACTCCCCTTAAACCTGCGATACAAAACTTAGTCCCGCGTTTTTGGGGAAGGACCAAAGCTGAAATTTAAGAAACAGTGATACACTACAGTTTGCCTTTGTGATGAAAACTTCATTAGATTTGTACCAAATGTTCAAGTTCTGTGTACATTTGTTGCGATATTAAGATAGTATATGTTGAATCTTTGGCCACAGCACCACAGGAAACCCGTATCAAAGTGTCTTATTTCTTATCACAGCCTTAACGTTTTCGGCACTATTTCAGTTGAATGTATGGCCATGTATCATTTAAGGCACTGATTATAGTAACTGACCGTGATCTTAACCACATCCAAGCAAATAGAACTAACTGTTGTGAATAATCTTTATTTGCAAAACGTTTGTAATTCAAGTATGTGATTCTAAACAGTAGATTTTGGTCGTCATGGAAGGTCAGTAATGTAACAATAGCGTCGATTCCTCCTAACAGATTAAGGTTTGAAAGGCCCAAAAAAGAATGGTGCTATCTTAGTTAACATTGGTCTTTGGTGTAACTTGGTGTTTAATGTGGACGTTCCGTTCCAAAAATTATATAAGCTGTTTATTTTTAACATTTCAATTTGATTATTTGATTATAATTAGCCCAGAAACAATGCTATGCCAAATGTAAAGCATGTAATTTAAAGTAAATTTTAGACATATAATTGGAAATTTACTTTTATAATTTCAGTATACAGTAAACCATCCGTTCCGGTATTTTCCAACGTAGAAGCCCATGAATATTGTACACCTCGGACATGTATAGTGGCTATTGTAAATAAATTAGAAACGATAGAATGTACTGTGAAAGGTGGATCAAGAGACATGACTCTAAATTTGCTAAAGAACAACATGAAATTAACAAATACCAATCAAACGCATAAACAAATATATTCTATTACCCATTTCTATATAAGATATAGCTTTATACCAAGTCAAACTGACACTGACATCAAATTTACATGTACGGTGAAGGATGCATCACAATTAGTACAATCATCAACATCTGTGGTTATGTATATCATAGGTATGCGCTATATTGATTCTTAAACTATTACAAAATTATATAAGTAAATGATTAATAGATTTGTCTTTTGGATGAACTAATCCCAGTAGTTTCTTGTCTGACTGATGTTTCATGACGGATTTTCATGAATTGATAAGTTAAAAATATGAATATTTACTACTCAAACCATGAAACAATAATGTGTTTAATATTTATATCTTACAATTAGAAAGAACATAAGTGTTTAAATTTTTATCAAACACCCATGTTTTTTTTATGATATAGATTAACTTAGTAATTAAATATTAAACTTTAATACTTTCATTTTTTAGTTCCCCCAAACAAGATTGAGGTGAATGTTCATGAAGTAATAGAAGGAGAAGAAGGTGAAGTGCAATGTATAGCAATGAATGGGAGACCGCCGCTAAAGTCGGACATGTCTATCGGTAGTAAATCAGAGACTTATACAAAGACAAAGAATACCACAAAGCCAGGGAACTTGTACGATATCATTACGTGGACAACAAGGTCCTTTACACGGGATGATAATCAGAAGAAGATATTGTGTTGTAGCAATATTGGAGGGAAGATATGTGGAGATACAAAAATCAATGTATTGTGTAAGTAATTTTATTGATTATTCTGTTTATTTATTTGATTGTTTAAAGATGGTATATGTTGTAATTGAGGCTATATACCACACTCAAGTGAAATTTTAAATATGTATTCAATTATGATTATAAAACAATTTAAAAAAAAAATCAAAAATGAACTGCAAATTTTTGTGAACATTATATATAATCATTATAATATATGCATTCATTTCTTATTGAAAGAAAGGACATAGACTTTACAGAAAATAAATTTCTAATTACCTTCATTTTTTTGCATGACATGTAAAATTCGGTAATTTCTTTATAAATGATGCTTTTTGGAACTTACAATATTTATAAATCTTAATTTGAGCATCAAATTTATGATATAAAGCCATAAAAATTTGTGTTACAGGATCTTTAATCGTAGTAATAAAAAAATACAATGCATGTATTCTTAACATCGGTTGTAGTTGTTTGAGCTCTTGCATGCGTGACATATACCAGTATACTGCATGGCACTTCAAATTTATCGCGTTTCAAAATCGATTGCCATAGATCTGTATTTACATATCACAATGCACGTATTTTAAACATAGATTGTAGTTGTTTGAGCTCTTGCATGCGTGACATATACCGGTATATTGCATGGCATTTCTAATGTATAATTTTTCAAAATCGATTGCCATACATCTGTTCCTTAACTATCACCATTACCAGTTTGGCTGCTTTCTGCAAACTATTTCAATAGAATCATTCAACTGTGACAAATGAACAATTCCACAAGTAAAGTTTACTACGCATAAATTGATCTATGTGATCTAAAACATATTCTGACTATACAAAATAACGAGTTCATGTTTACCATAACGAAAATAAATCTTTGACACGTTTGTTACTTTGCATATAATTAATATTCCCAAGACCAGCTATACAAAATCAGCAAAATATGCTTGTAATACATGCATACCCCCTTTGTCAGCAAACCCGAAGATGTATGCGATGCTGCTTGTAAACTATTTTTGCATGCAAGTTCAAAGCGACCTTATTTTTGAGCCCCCTTCCTAAACTTGATATGAAGAACTCTACTGTCAAAGACCAATGCACGTGTGACGTTTCAGTGCAAACGACCATTTATTTTTCCAAGTAATCCGTTATGACAGTCAAGTTCAACGTGTCCTGTGAAGTTTAAGGGCAAATGTCGCATTGGTTGTCTAGTTTTTGGTCGGTTTGTTTAGATAACATTGTGAAAAAGAGCATATGGATGATACAATTAGTCATGAAAACTTGTATGTATTTCATATACAGTTTGAGGAATGAAAGCTGATAATATGCGTTATAGATTATATACAATTACCTGTAAGGGATACGGATATGTGACAACTGCATTAAGGGTAAAAATTTTGTTTTACAAAATAATTTGTCTTGTTTTTTTTAAATCAATCACTTTAATTAAAATTTCTACTTTAACAGTTAAACCAAAACTTATTAAAGTTGTTGAAGTTTTCAAGCAAAACAAAGACAATGGAGACACTAATATAACATTGAAGTTCTCAGTCGAAGAGTCAAATCCAAAGAGTTCCATTGTAATAAGTGGAGTAAAACATATAGAGCAATCGTGGGTCGATGACAAAATTGAGCAGCAAAATAAAACATATGGGTGGACATATACATCGGTAAGTACATTACACCACTAACAATAATAATTTGTAACATGCTTCTGGTCAGCTCTGTGTCTTTATGAAATTTTATTGAATGTCTTCTTTAATAAGTAAATGGTAAATGTATGAAAATACAGTTTGCGTGAAAACACATCATTTTTGTTGCTCAAAACGAGAAATAAACAAATAACTGGAAACTTTAAACAGCGCCTGACACGTAAATTGCAATGCTATTGTTTTTTAATTGTTTATCTCTTGTTTTAGTTGTTCACTTAGTACAATGTAGTAAAAAAGGGGTGTTTGCAGTTAATCACGATACGCAAGTACTCGACACCTGGGCGGACTGGTATCAATCTTTTTCCAAAGGTTAAAAATGTAATCACTTTTGACCCTAAGGGTTAATTTGAATTTTAATCTTTGAACTTAGCTTATGTCATCTCGTCCTTGTTGATCTACATTATTTAGAATATTTTATATCTTGTTGGTCTGGTGTATGTTTGTTGTAATATTGTGTTTTAGTCTGTTTTGAAAGCTATTGCCTTGTAGGATATTCCATTTTCTAATATTTCGTTCCAGATCCAGAGCTTCATTTTTACAAGACATGATAATTCAAGGGAGATCAAATGTGAAGTGAAAAATGAAGGCTTTCCCGATCTTAGATTAAATGTTGAATATACTCTTGATATAACGTGTATGCCGTTTCTTATTTTTCTTTTCTTTTTTAATGAATTCATTTTGTTTAACTCTGTATATTTAAACTGTAAAACTTGTACAAAATCTTGTGAAATGTGTATGCTTTTATCTATCGCCTCAATTGTAATTGGGGATTCTTCGGAATGTATTTATAAGCTTTTTTAAAAGAATTTCTCTGAAACCAATACTAAATTAAACTTTACTAAATGATAACAATAAGTGGTTCTTCGTTTTGTTCCGTTCCTGCAGATTATCCAATAGTTACTATATCAGAGAAAGAACAGAAAACTGTTTACGTTGGTGATGATGTTGATTTGACCTGTAACGTGGACAGTAATCCCCCATCAACACTTTCGTGGCAGAATCAGACCGGCATTATTAAAGGTTTTATGCATACAAATGTATAGTTTTTAAAATATAGTAATTTCATATAATTCTCTTTATCATCTAATATCACATTTTAATCATAGTTTATTGTGTCGTGTGTACGATTATCTAAATTAACTAACTGTCTTCATACTGATTTTGATTGATTATAATTGTTTTCACATCATAATATCAGTTTACTAATCCCTAATATTGCATTAATATTTGCATGTCAAAGCGTAAGTTAAATCGTGCTCTAATATGTTGTCGGGGAAATACCGTCGAGGCTAACTAATCTTAGTACGCATGTTTGTTTGTTGCATTGCGTTTTAAGTTGCGCTGAAAGTAAATTTATATCGCAACCTTTTAACTTTACTGGGAATACTAAAGGTGCTTCTTATTTCAGGTGTTTTTTTAGTTGATACACATTTTAAAGCACTTACTGACTGATCAAAAGCTGTAATATATATTATTTATTATTTATTTCCATAGAGATATTCGGAGAAAAAACAATAAAACTTTATTTAACAAACGTTTCAACCGACCATTCCAAGACATATAGTTGCAAGGCCCGTAATGGAATTGGTGGGATTGTATCAAGAAATATAACGCTCATCGTGAAAGGTATTTCTTGTAGGCTGCAAACTTTGATGTGATAATAATGTACAAAGTCTGGAAATGTAATGATAGATAGTGTCTTATAGGGAAATAACGCTTTTGTATAATTGATAGTGTTTTAAAACATAGTATTATGACTGTCTTGAATAAATCTTAATACCTTAAAATGTAGCATTTACATAAAATCATGCAACTTTTATAAAAATTCATATCTGTCTAATGATATTGATAATGCATAATATTCATTAACGATTGAAATATTGTTTTCTTTTCCTCCCTCAGATCCATCTGAAAGACAAGAAAACGAAGCAATTAAACCATCGGCCGAGGCAAGCTTTGCATTAGTCATTGGGCCAATAATTGGCTGTATTTTAGTTATCATCATAGCGGTCATTGTGGCTCTTATAGTACTCAAGAAACGACAGAATAAGACACCAAACAAAAGGAACATTCATGAAATTAACATTGAGGAAAGAAATGAGTATGTAACATTTAAATTACTACTATGACGTCATTCCTTTGTTCTGACCGTACTGTATTTTTAATACTGTACAGGTAGGTGTCCAATATTAATGTGTAAGTCCAATATTAATTGTGAAACATATAAATATCAGACAGCATGACGTGTAGTGAAAGAAGCTTGTATGACCACAGGATTTTGCGGAAAATTCTCCAAAAAAAAAAAAAAAAAAAAAAAAAAAAAAAAAAAAAAAACGATTAAGTAAATGTAACTTCTTATCTCAGAGGTTAACACGAGGAATGATGCATCATCTTTCCTTCGCCCATTACGCATTTTACATATTAATTTTACGAAAAGAACAATAATTGTTATCTGGCTAATTTAACGAATGATTATTCCAAGCCTACTGATTTTCGATTTTCAAACTCTTAACATCTTATCACTGTTTACGCTTTCCAAGTGAAAGATAGCGGATATGATATTTATGGGATTGTTTAATTTCTTGTCTATTGTCCGTTTTTGTTTCTTTTTTAAATATACGTTTACATGACAATCATACTTGATTTGCCTAATTGTATGTACGTTATGTTTCAGTTAGGTCAACTTTTCAAGTAAGTGTAATGGTCAGCTTTTCAAATAAATATAATAGAGAAAATAGATTCATCTATTTTAAACAAAAGCGGCTATATTTGATTGCTTATATAAAAAACGATGCCAGACTCCTGTGGTATGACAAATACCAATTCAAAAATAAGAAAATATCATTTTGTTGCGTTAATATCCAAAATTCACACTAATGGCAATTCTTACACAACTTGTCATCCTTGCTGTAGTAAAATAAGAAAAATATCATTTTAACACTAAATGGTCAATATAAATCCTTCTTCAATCATTCAAAATATCCAAGATTCAACATAAATTTGAAAACATTTCATTTTTATTATTTCTTGTAAAAATCCCCAATGTAAATTGATGTATACTGTATGTGCGTAAGTTCAACATTTTTTGTAACTGGTAAATTTTATGTAATATAATTGTGTTCATGTACATAATTGGTCATATTTCAAAACACGAAAATTTCTTGCTACATTCAAGAGGCTACCCACAGGGTTTTGCAAGTAAGAAAAAGATAATTGCTAAAACATTAATATTGCACATTTCTAGCACAAAAATAAATTGTTTCTAATTTTTCGATAGATAACATGATATTTGATAGTAAAAGTAGTAATTTAAGTAAGATATAAGCCTCAAACTGACCAATAAGTAAAATTTCTAATTCCCTTCGGCGCTACGCGCCTCATGAAATTAAATACAGTTTTCGGCTTATATCTACTACATAAAAGTTATATGTTATATTGATTCGGAGTTTTCCAATTCTTTTTACCTCTGTCCTTACATGCACATTAGACTCCTTACTTGTCTAAGCAAATTTTTATGTCCAGAAATGTCATATATTTATAGGCTATTTGTTTGATTGGCTAAAAAGTTTCACAACAATTACTGACAAAGGGGTAACATCACGTGAAGTCAATAATAATAGCAGCCAGATAAAGAATAACGAAAATGACGTAATATTTGCATGTAAAACTTCAAGCTTGAAGTCCTTATGAGCTCATAAATAACGATTATTAATTTAACATGAAACAAGCGGCAACAAAGACTATTTCCCATTAAAGGTTGTGTTTCGTGGGGCTCGGAGTATGGACATGTACCATAATCTTTACGTCACCTTGCGTTGTCGTGTGAAATTACACGTTTTTTTTTTCAATATAATAGCTAAATATTTAATGATTGGAGTGTTTAAATAGAAAAACATATTTTTTTCGGTAAAAAAAAACAGCATATTACATAAATTTTGCAAAACAATCAGATAGAAACTTACAATGAATTGTCAGTAATAATGCATTTACTTACCTAATTTCTAAAATGGACTTTACCTGGTCGATGTACTTTGCACAATTTGTTTTTACTAGTTTGCTTGTATACAACGATTAAAAAAAAATATTGTTTTTTTTTTTTCCAGAAATTTACATCCGACTGGAAACGGTAAGCGCTAAAACAAACATTTATTTGCCCATGTTCCATATGCACTATTTTGTATGACAACTTTATCTTCCTGCATGATGTAAAACCTAACATCTTTAAACTGCTGTGGTATGCCGACAACGGATCTCGGACGTATTCAACCGATTTCAGAAAGTTTTGTATTGGCCTTAAGTTTTTTTTTCTTTTAGAGCAATACATACATTCTTACGATGCGGTACGTTGCTATGCAAAGACCTAAAAAAGTATGTTCTCGAGCATGCGCATTCTGCTTAGGGCAGACATATCACGCCTTTCACAGAAATGTTGGCGTTTATAGAAAATGGCTTGAAAGTATAAAATGCATAAGTATCAATAAATATCAACGAAATAGAACTGTTGCATATAAAACATATAAACAGGAGGAGAATTTCCTTTTAAAAATTGTCCCGCGTTGAGTACGATAATTATTGTGAGAATCTTTCTAACCATCCAAATTTATTTATTAGCAAAAAATATCTACCAAATTGTTCTTGATCTTTATTTCAAAAACAAAATAGATACAAGTATCTGTGAGATTTATATTTCTTATGTTTTCTATCTCCATGAATAAGTAAGTATACGACCGTGCATATCCAGTAACGAAAGAATGTGCAAATAACGTAAAAGTAACACCAAATCTGTACAACGATATTGCCACAACGAATAACAGAGTAAGTTAACGAACCAAAATATTTTATTCTAAATCAAATTTAAAGAAATGAAATCGCGCATACGGCTGCTACGACATTATACTTTAAAAAGCATTAAATTTTTTTCAGGAATATGTTTACTTCGTTAGATCATTCGTGAGAAAGACAACCTGATTACCGTTTTGAAGGTGACTTTTGTGCTTTCGTTAAATAAATATGTACATTTAACACATTTAAAACGTTACTTTTTCAAATTATGTTTACCGAAGATATTTTGTCAAACTACCAGTGCCGGAAGCTGGTAAAATAAGATTTAGCTACTTTAATGAGATAACCGTCGTTGCTTCAGTGCTCCATTCACGAATTCGGCGTTACCTCGTAAAAATGGTCTCAATTACGTTTTATCAGCTAAATTAAGTATAATATGACACGACTAGATTTGTGAATGTCTCATGTACAACGAGTATTAAAAGTCAAAATGTATGTTATTGTATTAAAAGATATCAACGAATCAAACTAAATATCGCCATCAATACGCTAGTCAGATCGTTATTTCACAAATGTTCTTGAAACATAAACATTTACATGAAAATGTTTTTGATTAGGTTTAAATTATAATTTCTCGGCAACCGTAAGCGCTAATCCATTTCTTCGAATTTGGTGTACAGTAAAAAAATTGGTTCATTTACTTATCGCGAGTTATATGCAAATTTCTGCGTTACTGGATATACACTTTGTGTATAGTTTACCAAAAATAAATTAAATAAATAAATTAATAGATAAAATTAAGTTAATTACCATTTTGTGAAAGTCATTTTAAAGTCTTTTTACAGCTGCCACACAACACTTGACACCTGTTGTTGTAAAGTATAAAAGTCTGGAAACAAAGGGATCCCTCGGAAGCATGAATCACAACAAGATAATTGCAGACTCTGTTTCGATTTCTTTTTGTCCTACACAGAATAAGCATGCGCGACATGTTACTTCCGTTTCTAAGGAAATATGGCATTGCAAACAAGTATATTAGTAGTTCAAGTGTAACACATACAAATGTAGATGTTTAGTACTTAATTAAAACACCTACTACGGGAATCTGCGTTGCGATGCGGTAACGTTGTACCATCGCCCATTTGTCATTATATTTTATTGAGTTTTGCATTGGCACCCAACAGATAGCATTCATGGTTGTTCTTTGTATTTAGAAGTCCTGATGCAACGAGATGTTGGTACGACACTTGATACATTTTATTTTTTATATTAACTTTAAACTAAATTATTATTCCAAATTGACATTATTTTAGGTATTGTTACCGATTTCTGATTTTGTCTTGATGATGGTTATCTAAATTTAAGAAAAACATAATACATGTAGACACTTTTACTCGTATTTTTTATAAAGCATCATGTATGGAATGTAAAACTGCTTACGTTAAAGAATAGAAATAATAAACTTAGTATATTGAATGTGTTACATACGGAACACTTGATTGTCTTAATAAAATGCCTTAACGATAGATCTGTAATCAAACGCCAAGCGTGTTGGTCTCATTCGAGTTTCATAATTACTTTTATGTTATTTAATTTATGTTGATTAGAAAAATTAGTTTAATATTCGTGTTTAATTTAATGAAACGATGTTTATTTCTTGTTTTAAGGTATGCCCCCTCCCTAATGGGCACTATAAAGAAATTGTAAAATTGACAACATTGGTCTGTTATAGACTTTAAATGCAAAATGTAAACAGAGTTTACAGTATCGTTAACGAGATGTTCAGATAAAGTTTTGTCTTAATTAAAACTTGGATATTGAAGGGCTTTTTCAGAAATGAGAATCTCCAAGTAATCTTATCATCATTATGAAAAAACGTTCTCAAATAATAGCATTCAGTTAACAAATCACACAAGCAAAGGTTTTGCTTTTCATAAAAATGTTTGCAACATGTATAAAAATGTTACCCGAGCCAACTCATTTCTAATACTTGTTCTACTGTTTTCCTACTTCAGTTAGATGGACTTGTTTAAAATATTCCAAAAGAAACAAAATGAGGACTGTTCTCAAAGGTTGCTTACATTTTCTTTAAGGTATATGGGTTGACTTGTACAATATAAAATAACTTTACTTTGTAGTTTCTAATTTCTGAGAGTTTGAAAATATCAGATGCTATTATTTGCTGTTAACTTTGGCATATTCCCATAATAATTGTGTTATTCAAATGAGACACATAAATAATGTTCACAGAAAGAAAGAAAGAAAGAAAGAAAGAGAAAGAAAGAAAGAAAGAAAGAAAGAAAGAAAGAAAAAGAAAGAAAGAAAGAGAAGATAGTTACATCCTGTGGGATTTGAACCCGCGCCCCTTTGTAGTTCTAGTCAATATAAATATTCTTCAAAATGAAGGTAATCCATTAGGTGGGTCATACTTTTAAAGATATTTTACAATACAATTTCGCTTTTTTTGCTTAACACTGATGGCATTGGGTTTGTTATCTGGGGGTCAGTTGTTTGATCTTCGGGTGAGGCAAATTCAAATGACGGTTGCTCTCGGCCTTTGAACCATATGGTTATTTGTCTCGCACAGCTGATTTAGGAATCATGTATGATAAGTAGTCGCCTACTTGCGGAGAAACTGTTAGATGTCCAGAACCGTTTTGTTAGACCAACCGATGTAATAACGATCGAAATGTATCAAAATCGGCGTAAAAATCAAACAAACTGTATTTCTACAAATCTTGTTCGACTTTTTATTTTTAAGACCCCACTCACAATAATATTGCAACATCTTCTGGAAACGCTGATGCCACGGAACAGCCAGAATACGCATGCGTCATTCCAAAGAAAGACAGGAGGAAGTTTCCTGCTATGAAGGAGACAAATGATGCAGACAACAAAAATGTAACTATTGAAAGGCTTTATTAAATAATATAATTTATTATTGATGATAAAGTAAAAATAAAAGTAAACGTGATTTTTCTTTTTTTCTTCCTAAAGATGATTAAGGATTATTCCAGATATTTTATGATATTTTTTTAATTCAATTTTAATTATAATTTAAAAATGAAAACAACAAAAAAAACACTAAAAAACAGCAACATTATACATGCTAAACTGCTTATGTTTAAATGTAATAAATTTTCAACAGAAAGCACGACATAATTATAGAAGCAACGTATTTTACATCTGTATCAAAACCAGCAAAATTGTCTGTTTGCTTCTCGATATGCACATGTGATACTTTGCTTTTAATTTAAGAAGAACAAAATCTTATCAAAAGTCAATCTCTGTATTTACAGAACGAAAGGGGAGACAATCTGGTGTATGCTGACCTAGATCTAGCCGAATATCCGGACCTGGCAGCTAAGAGACCACTTGTTACTTTGCATGAGCAGACAGAATATGTGTCGATAGATTTCAGTAAGACCGGCGCAGCAGCGATTGCAGACAGTAGTGGAGACAACAACTAAAGAGACGTGAACTATATAAGGGGTCATCAAATTGTTAGAGGATCAAAGGATAAAAAAGAACCAATTTCGTTATAAAATAATTTGAGGTCATGGCCCTCTCTATACGGCAAATGAAAATAACAGTAGAAATGGCCAAACCTTCATTTGAAGTAAAACCTCTGGGCGAGACATTTTATTCGATAAGAAGCCTTTTACTAACATAGAAAATAGAACATAGAAAATAGTATTAAAGATAAGATACAACATGGAAAAAGATACCTGATTGGGAATTTATGCTTTTTTCAATTATATTTTTTTCCATTTTTTTTATAATTCTTTCTATAATTTATTTTTATAATGTCTTTACTTATATGAAGGAAAGTAACTTTAGAGCTAGTTATTAAAAATAGTTTCCTAGCGCATAAGACGAAAGTAAAATAAAACATCCTAAAGACAAATAAAAACAGTCAATATTTTAGCCTGTTAAAAGCTTTTATCTAAATAATATACTAGTAAATTTGTACCCGCTTTGATAATTAATTCGATATGTAAACTTGCTTTTAATCTATTAAATTTATACTCGAATATAACGCATGCTTAATGTGAAAAGGATAAGTTGGGTTTTGTAGGTGTCCAATTGAGTGATTGGTCGATTAGCACAGTGTTTAATTGCAGTGGGTATAAGGCGAATATTTAAAATAGAATGTCAGCCGTTGTACCGTAAACAAAGTCATTTGCCATTCATTCAAACATTCCTAGTGTATATATAAATCATTCGTTATACTACACCATTAATTCCTTCTTTACCACTTACTGTTTCATTGTACAATGTAAATTACATGGCATTGTCTTGGAGAAGGAAGCCTTTACACGTGATAAATGTGTAGAAACTTACACGATAAACTTCTTCATACCATGTCTATCTGACACGTATACTACTTTGTAATACTCAATCATTTACAAGAGGTAACTTATTCAACATCATTTAACAACCGAACTTTTAAGATGGCTCTCTTAATATGAACACGAGTCGTGATAAAAAAAGAAAGCAATTCAGCACCCTTTGCCTATATAAAAGACATTGAAAGCCAGTACATTTTAAAGCAGATAGATATATGTTACTTTCACTGGAATTTAAGTTATTAAAGAATCATTTGTTTTGTTATAATGAAGCATCTTTTAAACGGAAATACAATATGTTTTATTCTCTTTATTGTCATAGTGATAAAACCAACGTGTAAGTGTTCTTTTTATTACAAGTTGAGTAATTCAGAATGTTTTTAAGAAACTAAAAGAATAAATATTGTATTATTCTCAAAAACGGTGCTGAACAATAGGGCAATGGCTTTAAAAAAATATCGATAACATCATTGAAAAGGCGGTTTCTGTTCATTTCGGTTAATTTGAAAATTGAAACGTAATATGTTTTAAGTACATGCACATATTGTTTAATAAAAACAAATTGTAATTTACAATGCCTTTAATGATCTTTATATATTGAAAGCATTAAACATTATACTAATTGAAATTTTGTATAAAAGAAAAAGAAAAAAAGAAATGTGTTCTTTGAATGTTATAAAAAATGTACATCATTATGTTACGTGTGTATAGGAACATGTATAGTTTATATATTTAGTTATACAATATATATCGTTTCAAAATAAAAAGCAATTGATAACATTTTTCGATATTCATTTTCGTTTGTGAATGAAGAAAATATGGCGTAGAAATACCCGTAGTAACTATCTTAAATAAACAAGTAGTAATTTGTCGCACTTACATCATGAATATCAATACATAAATGTCTCCGTAATTTAAACACAAAGATCAAACTAAATATATATACAGTATATATACCAATCTTGCCAACACAAAACGTCTTCAATACAATCATGGATAGATCGAGTTATAAACAGAATATCTATATCTTTTTGACTACAAGTTGTAGAGATACTAAGCTAGCATAAACTTTTCAAATTAAGGTGGTGAAAGACACTTAAGTCAGAAAGGACTTTAGTTTTTTACTCTTCATTCTTTCCTGACTTTTAGTTTATTATATTTCATAGCTCTAGATGCTATATTTACATAATTAAAAACGCATCAGTACATTGAAAATCTTATTTCAAATCATCTAACAACTGTTTCAATAAAATCATGATTCTTATTTGAATGGTTTAATCTCATACCAGTATTATTAGCATAATTGTTTTAAGTCATAGAACATACTAAGTTCAAGCGAAATGGCGGGTGAACCTCTTCATAAAATTAATTTTTCATGATTAAGTTCAGATATTTGTAATTACCGTCCATTGATTTTGTTAGATGAACATTCAGGCTATAATCTAATTAATAAGTTTTTTTTACATTTTCTTATTGTAAATTTCTTTCTATTATAATGTTATGTACACACTACAAGTCATACTTTTACATGAATTATAATACAATTAAACTCTCGTTTAACCTCAATTTATGACTGAAACTCATGTCATACAAGAACAGAATGACACACTTAAAAGTGCAACTGTTTCTGCTCGTGCTATTGGTGCAGACAACAATCAGCTGGCACATCAATGTTGTCTGGAAAGTGGTCATGATTTGCAGTGTTCGCAAACATGTTTTCAATCAATTCTAAAAATGCAACAATGTTGCTCATATCATTTCGATCTTGTATTTCATTTATGTATCAAATTTCATTTGTGTATAGTAGTTGGACAATCGGAGCTAAATTGAACCACAGCTGTTCACAAAATATAACAGATGTTGTCATACATCAAAATGTTCAGTATCGCTTGTAATTTATGATTATGTAGATAATTATTTCCCGATGTTGGTGCGGGCTGAGAAATCAAAGATTGGGTCCAAGATGGCCGGCGCTTGTGCGGATTTGCCTTGAAAACCAAAGGTTTAAAGAACCACCTGGATGGCAAGGTCATTGTGGTGGTCAAATGTCAATAAATGTGTCATTTGAATGCGCAGTATTTTTGTTATAAAGTGACCGCAAAAATTGTCTCAGATAACATGATTAGTTATGCAGCTTGCATGCAGACAAAGAATCATTTCATAATAATGGTGAAAAACTATTTCTACGGTAACAGCAAAATCATGTGTAAAATGACAGGCAAAAAACTTCTCCTGTAAACGATAAATCAACATTAAAAACCTTTCGCATGGCGTTAATAAAATTTAAAAAAAACACTCAAATATATGATGCTTAGCAAAAGTTGAGAATATAGACAGTAAGCATATACAATGGCAATGATAGATTTTGTGGATTGAAAATCAAGTCAAATGTGACTTATGTATAAAATTTCTATCCACACATTACAATAAAAAAATATGCACATAATATGTTAGAATAATACAAAATAAAAAGCAAATCAGATAAATAATTAATTTAAAAATAAAAAATGTAAGAACATTACTGTTAGAGTAGTAGAATAAAAAGAATTTTGTTTCAAGATTGTTTTTATAATATTAAAGGATTACCCCAAACAATTTCTATTACAAACTGAAATATTGTTTCAACTAGTATTCAAATAAAACTTCAGCAGGTCTTAATGAACCATGGTAACGCCACTGTATCGCAGCTCAGAGAACGTGTTGGACGTTGAAATGGATAATAAAAAATGAGTTAAAATAAGTATGGACATTGTCAATATGTAGCCAAACCTTACTTTAAAACACAAAGAACATGTTAAATTGCACAGCACAACATTTGAGCGTTAGATCATCAGAACTGAAAACATGATGTGTCTTTAAACATTCCAAATAATCAATTAAGGAGAGACCATTTACATATGTAAATTCTGTCCAACCAGAATAAATCGTTTTAAAACCCAAAAAAAGGGGATAAAAATGGACTATGTCATTATCCCCTATTAAAAACCCAACCCCCTGACCCTAATGATATTTTTCAACAAAAAACCAAAACCCGGGAACCTAACAAAAAGCCCTTTTAAAAAAATTTTAAACCAAGAAATTTTTTTATACCCTTTAAGGAAGCTGAATCTCTAAAACAAAGATTTTATTAATGACTTAATCTTGATAAACATATCCTCATTCAAAAAGACGTGGCCTTAAAAACTATAAAGGAAAAACACAAAAAAAAGACTAAAGCTAATTTGTGAAGCATGAAAAAGTGATCCATTGAAAACATGTGTAACATTCCATAATTATGAGAAGATTTTGTAAGTAAACAAAATGCTATAAATTAAGTCCTGCTAAGATTCTTCTGCACGTTTCACACTAATTCCTTCCTAAACTGAATGGGCGTCCTTGTGAAGGAGATGACACGATTATTCTGAGAACATGTATGAAGAAAGGATGATAACCCAAAAGTCAGGTGTGAGTTAATAATTAAAAATGACGTTTAATACACTACTTCTCTGATAATATTTTCAACATTAAATTTTATTTTCCGATTATTTTTCGACGTAGTCGTATACTTTTGATATGAACTTCCATTGGTATGGACGCCTTGCTAACCAAATTCTTTATAATTTGACCAATCACAATCTGCAAATTACTGGCTAACGTTACGATCCTTGAATAAGCAGTGTACTGCCCGGGAGCCTTCTGAAATACAAAACGTGTGTTTTTTTTTTAAATAGTCATTTCCTTTATAAAATAGCACTAATAAAATAACACATGGTTTCTAAAGAAAATGAGTTAATCAACATCCTTTACGTGAGAGAAAGGTAAAGACCTGTCATACTTTTTTTCAAAAATAAATATACCTTATAGTGGTAGATCTTCATGTAAAAAATAACCATGTAAAAATAATAAGATCAATTAAAATGAAAAATTCATAATCATCCTTAATATCAAACCCATTAACATGGATTCATTTCAAATACTCATTTTCTGATAGCATTGATATTTTTTAACTACAAACTATTGTTAAAAGCGAAGTTTATTGTATTGATGATCATTTGAAGTTAATCTAAATTAGTAGAAATTCCTTCGAGGAAAACGCTATTGAATACAATACTTTTGTCTTTTTTCTGCACATTCAAGTGAAAAAATCTTTACTTTGGGGAGAACAAATTTTGTTGCTGTATAAATGTTTCAGCTCCATAAAAGGCCACTGCAAAGCTATACTGTATTTTTAATTCATTCTGATTTTAGATTCGAACAATTGCGGGACTTTAAAATTTGAAAATGACACGGTGATGGAATGCAAGTCCGCACGCACTTACATTTATTAAACCATAACAAGGTACACGAAACACGCCAAATGGGTTCGGGGAAAGAACAATGAAGCGTAATGATTTATGATCACAAGAAAATACATAACGAGAGCAAATACTTTGAATCAAAAGACGGTGACAGTTTCGTCTTATCTATATCAGCAGTAAAGTCAAAAGACATTGGGAATTATCTTGTAAACTGTGGAAACCCAGGTTATACTAACCGGTCTTATCTAAAAGTTGCTGTGAATGGTGAGTAATTGAATTTCTTTTCTTTAATTTGGAAACTTCATTAAAACTATTCATTCTAAAATACTTTTATTAATTTTCTAATTATATTGACGTCAAAGGGTTTGCTTATTACCAAAACCAACACTGTTTTCTTAAAATAATATCGAAGTGCCGGCTTGCTCATTATTCAACAGCATGTTTAATAAATATTTGTTATAATGGTCAATGTAGAGAATTAATAATGCGCCTATTTTGTCCAAAATACCTTACTTAGGAGTCAATATAAATCCATGCCATTCATCCAAATATTATCTACTATAGGATTTACAGCTGTAAACTCGTCAAATAGAATCAAGTTTTGTACTTATAAACGGTTAATAACCTTTTTTTTTCCTCAAATTGTGCTAAAATTGTGCAATAAAATATCAACTCGTGTTTGTAATCGTTATAACTTTTCTAGTCTTCGTTAATGATTCTTTTCATTTTTCTTTTTTCTCGTCTTTTAGTTGCTTTGTTATATTAAGTGACATCAAATACCTAATTACTGTAGTGGTTTATTATGATTTTTTTTGTTTATACATTTAATATAACACAGGAAAAAAAAACACGTTTTGATTTTGAATAGATTCTTTCATTTTCTTCTGAAACTACTGGTGGTGATGTGCAATATGATATATTTATACATTTTTTTTAGTAAAATACTGATTTTTTAGATGAGTGGAGACCTGCAAATCCATGCAAAATTTGTAACTTTAGCTTGCGATTGCTTGATATTGGTTAAACTATATTTTTGACATCATGCTCTCAACTTACTTAAATTGATATATACAAAATATACAAGTACGTTTATAACCTATATAATAAATGATATCATGGTGAAACATCGCCTTCGTCTATGGTTAGAAATTTTGCCTCTTAATTTATTATTATTAGATTTGACACTGATGATATCATTACTTACTAATTTCAAGAAGCCAACTAAAACATGATCAATATTAGCTAGGCGAAATTGTTACAGTTTCTTCAATAACTGTAATTGTAACACCATTTAAATAAATTTAATATTGTACGGTGTTCTTTGATTTTTGAATGGAATTCACAAAACATTTGTGTTTTGAAATTATAGGCACATGATATCTGATTGACAACACATAATATTGATGAAACAAACTGCTTTTATTGAGATGTTTTGTTATATGCTGGAATGATGAATTAAGTTTATGATTTGTTTAGGTTGTAACGAAAAATGTGGCGAACCTTTATTTACAAACAACATCACAGAAGAAGATTCAGTTACATTTAAATTGACTGTTTACCCTGGTAAAGACGTGACCGTGGAAAAGAAACTAGCGTCGACGTTTGGACAAATAAAAGGTGGAAAATACAATATTACAGAGTTTGCAGAGGAAAGGATGCATAGCCTCTATATTTTAGAAAAAGACTTTAGTGACAGAGACGAACACAGAGTAAATTGCGGGAACATATTGCCGAATTCAATACGTCTGAACATTGGTAAATAGTATATATTCTAAGTACCTGTATCTCAAATCAAATCATTTATTTGCAAATCTAATGTACATTTAGTAATAGAAAGAGCATCGAAACACGATGCTATCTGATTTTTGTACGAGGCGTATGTCGTCACAATGAGTAAACCACAGCAAAAATGAACCAATCAATATGCATGCTTTTGAGTGCGGGTAACTAATACTTGCACTCCAGTTAACGCACTGTGCATGTATAATGTATACGATTTAACACATTTCAACAGAAAGGTCCTCTAAACTATGATACAATTCTTTTTTATTGTCAGAAAATGCCAAATTCCTAAACATATACCGACTACTTTATAATTATCAAATTCTTAAAACAATCAAAAGCAAAAACATATTTCAATTAAACATAATCTTCTTAGTTTATTTACACGCAGTTTACAGTCACATGATTGTTTAGACATTTAAAAACTAATGTGACCGTATTAAACTTATATGATACGACTATAAAAAGAAAATTTTCTTACAATATAAATAAAAAATTTGAAAAAATGAACACAATGCATGCAATAAGCACATATAAATTCCCTTTAATAGAAAATTGTTATGAAACGTTATGATGAGTGCAACAAATTCATGCTATAAATTTAAAATCTAAGGAATCGTTCCAGGTGACGATCACATTCGTATTACACAGGTTAACATTTACTTTGGTTCAATAAATGAATTTTGAAGTGGTAAAAAGATTTTTTTCATAAATTCATCAAAATCAAGCTTAATTCCATCATGAAGCATTCACTCAATTGTTCAAGGTATTTGCAATTGTTAAAGTGACATTATGCTAATTATTTCATAGTCAACTTGAGCTGAATTGATATTATATTTCAAAAGATTAACTGAATTAATGGTGTTTGACCAACTGTTGATATTGGAAAATGTTTTGAATAAAATTATAAATGTTATTAAATTCTAAAAAGACTGCCCCACTCTTTTTATAAACTAAGGGTTACATGTAAATTCTAATAGATATATACAGATATTTCGTTGGGATCTTTGCGTTATTTATTGTTTATTGGAACTTAATTATTAAATAAAAAGGAATTATGGCAAAATGAAAACTTATTTTGATATTCACCCGTTCACTCATTATATACCCTTGGATGGGCATAATGTCACTTTAAGGCAAAATATGCATAAAAACGCATGTATTACTCTAATATGGTTGCACAAAATTAATTGTATTTATATGTTAAGATAACCAAATTCAGTTATCATTTATATCCTTTATTGACAATTGTTTGTTTGAATGATTTACAAAAGATGAAGGAATTACACATAGATAAAAATAAATATATTTTGAACTTCTTTTGTATTTGCCTTATTCCACGTATTTAAATTTTACAATGTTGCCAATTGTACAAATGTTGCTATTTTTTGTTCTTTCCTACATGGTTAAATTCATCTGAGTATTATCATTGATATAGTATTTGCTTTAAAACAATTTAAACAGTTTTAGTAACACCTTTTCTTCAAGTACTCTTAATACATAGTTAACAATTTTATAAACGACAGTATCTTATGCAAATGAACATTTTTATATGTGTTTAATTACTTTCCAAACCGTACACCATCAGTACCGTCATTTCCCACCGATGAATCCGCAGATTGTTGCAAACCAAAGGGATGCTTTACTAAAATTGGCATTTTAAAAACATTAGAAACGGTAGAATGTTTCGGTAAAGGTGGATCAAAAAGCCATTATGCCTTTATTTGTAACAGAACGAAAAATATACTTACGAATGGTGGAAAAATACATCAAGTAACTTAAAATTCTTAATTTCAGTTTTTTTGTTTTATTTCCAAATCATTTTATTTCACAAAGCATTCATCTTGGACATCAGTTTTTCAACGTTTTGTACAAATTGTAAGTAGAAAAAGACCCAATGCTATTGAAGTGTATAAGATAGAATAAAACACAATGGAATTATTAGATAGATTTTGTTAACTAGATAACAATATAAAAGTATTTTGCTTTTTAGTTTCACCAGAAAACATTGACGTTAATGTAAGTGATGTTGCTGGAAGGAAAACATGGTAAGGTTCAATGTATTGCTAAGAACAGCACACTACAGTCAAGGCCGGAACTTTTTTATAGATAGCCAAAATGTTTACTAACATAACGACACAAGTAAAAAACAATAGCTGGAAATTTTGTACACCTTACAACACGTCGACAACAATGCTATTTAAACGGCTTAATAAACAGGAAAAAATATGTGTGGTTTTC